TTGTGTTTAACTCTTCGCCGACACCTCACAGTCTTGGTTACAGAGCTATAATAAAGAACTTTGTTCATCCTCTTCAAACTGTTTTAACTATCATTCTGTATACATTTTAGAATCAACTTGTTTGTGTCTTCAGAAAATTCTTGTTGGGATTTTGATGGAAATTGTATTAAACTTGTATATCAATTTGGAGAAATCTGGCATTTGTACTATTTTGAGTCTTCCAATTTATGAATTGGAATGTCTCTTCATTTATTTAGACCTTTGATTTCTTGATTTCTTTTTTATTTTTGTTTTGGTAGCAGGGATTGAACCCAAGCATGCTAAACTACTGAGCCACATCCCAGTCCTTTTTAATATTTTATTTAGAGACAGGGTTTCTCAAAGTTGGCTTAGGTCCTTGCTAAATTTCTGAGGCTGACTTTGAACTTGTAATCCTCCTGCCTCAGCTTCCTGAGCCACTGGGATTACAGGCATGTGTCACTGCATGCAGCAATACAATTGATATATTTTTTTTAATGTTTGCTTATGTACTGAGACCTGCTGAATTTGTCTGTTCTGGGAGTTCTACTGGTGGTTTCTTTAGGTTATTTATATAGGTACTAATGTCATTTGCAAATAGAGACAATTTAATTATTTCTTTTAGAGGTAAATGCCTTTTTCTTTTTTTCTTTATTACACCAGCAAATGTTTCCAGAACTATAGTAACAGTGTAGGGAGTGAAATCCTTACATTCTTCCTGGTCTTAAGGGGAAACTGTCAATCTTTTGCCCCTAAATATGTGAGATGTAGGATGTTTGTAGATCACATTGAAGCTATTCACCTCTTCTACCTCTGTCTCCCCTACCCCCAGGTACATGTCAGGTATGTGCTCTACCACTGAGCAGTATAAACCCAAAGCCCAATTCCCCTCTTTTCTCAGTTTTTATCTTGAATTAATGTTGGATTCTGTAAGGAATCAATTAATACCAGTTTTTTGTATCAATTAATATGACCATGTGATTTTTCTCCTCTGTACTGTTAATATGCTAAATTAATTTATTTTTATTATTGAACCAGTTGTGAGCCTCAGAATAAACCCCATTTGGATATAGTGTATGATTCTTCTTATATCATATTTAGATCTATAGTAAGATTGTGTTAAGAGTATTTTGTGTGTATACTTGTTGAGAGCCACAGCCCAGTCGGGATGATGCCTGGCATTTTTGCCAGATGGAGTGGTTGAGAGGTGATGCCAGGGAGCCACTAAGATGATGATAATTAAGTTAAGCTGTGTATAATTGCTGTGACTGGATGATGCTTGATTGAAACAGGCTGTGTATTCAGTTGTATATTAGACCCCTGCTGTCCGGCAATAGGGCGGCTCCTGCTGCCTTGGGCGCCTGCTACTTTTGAGTTCTGAGTTCTCAGTTGAGTTCCGGTTGAGCTCTCCCGGGGATTCCTGGAGAGTTCGCATTGGTTGGTGAGCTTCCTGTGGAGGGAGTTCCAGTTGGGGTGTGGTGTTCCTGAAAGGGCCGTGTGGGTGGCGTTCACAGGAGTTGGGGCAAAAAAGGAGTTCCTGTTTGAACCTACAAGTGCCATGTGGCGGCTTGGTTATTTTGTGCCCGCGACCTTGGTGTTGTCAGCACCAAGCTCTAACCAACTGCCAGGTGTCATCGGCTGTGGCTCTCAACATCTACTCATAAGTGGTGTTGGTTTGTAATTTTGTTTTTTGGTAATGAACTGATTTGGTTTTGTTATTGGAATACTAGCTCCATGAAATGTGTTGGGATGTGTTCCCTTCTTTCCTATTTTCCGAAAGAGACTTTTTAGGACTCATGTTTGTTCTTATTCAAACGTTTGGGAAAAGTGTCCAATGAGACCGCCCAGACCTGAAGGTAGGTAGGTTTGTTCATTCCTTTCTCCTTTATTTCCTTCCTGCCCTCCCTCTCCCTCCCTCTCTTTGTTTCTTTCTGCCTTAAATTTATGGATTCAGTGTCGTTAATAGTTGCATGGCTCTTAAGTTCTCTATGTTTTTGATGTATTGCGCTAGCTTGTGTGTTTTTGTGGGATTGATTCACTTCATCTAACTTGTAAATTTATGTGTGCAGAGTTGTTCTGTAGTATTGCCTGATTATTGGTGTCGGTAGGGCCTGTAGTGGTATTTCTTGTTTCAGTCCTGATACTGATAATTTTTCTCTTCAGAGAAACAGAACCGATAGGAACCAACACTTGCATCTTCACACATAGGCATAGGTCTGTATGTCCACTGCCAGCTCTCTTTATAAAGATATGGAGACAGAGATGGTGTTTGGGGGTTGCTGGGGACTGAGTGAGGACTTTTCAGGTGCTAAGCACACACTCCACCACTGAGCTACAGCCCAACCAGAGAGATTTATTTAAAAGAATTAGCTTATGCAATTATGACTTGCCGAATCCACAAATCCAAATTTTTTTTTCAGTACTGGGGATTGAACCCAGGTGTGCTTTACCACTGAGCTACATTCCTACATCCCAAACCCCTAGAAAAAGATTCTTAAGACAGAAACTTAGATTATTGCTTTCAGACATATCTTCTTTTCCAAGATATGCATTTAGTGCTGTACATTTTCCTCTTACCACTGCTTTGGATTTTTTATATGTTGTATTTTGTTTTAATTAAGTTCAATATTTTCAAATTCCTCATGCCTTCTTTTTTGAACCATGCATTATTTAGAAATTTGTTGTTTAGTTTCCAAGTATTTGGAGTCTTTTTTTTGTGATCTTTCTGCTAGTGGTTCCTACTTTGATTCTTTTATGATCAGATAACACTTTGTATTGTTTCATTTCTGTTAAATTTGCTGGGGTGTAATCTGTGAGCCAGGGATGTCTGTCTTGGTGAATGTGCTGTGGTTGCTTGGTGAGAGTGGACTCTGCTGTCATTGGTGTTGTTGGACCCTGTGGTTGACAGTGTTGCAGAGTTCTTTGACGTCTATTGACTCTCTGTCTAGTAGTTCAGTCCTTTCAGTTGCTGAGACTGGGGCAAAAAAAGTCTCCAGCTATAATTCCAGGTTTCTCTGTTTCTTTTTTCAGCTCTTTGAGTTTGTGTAGTTTTAAGTCTGTGTTTGGTGCATACCTTTGTAGGATCATATCTTTCAAATGTGTTAATCCTTTTTTCATTGTCCCTCTTGTACCTAGTAATTTTTCTTTGCACTAAAGTCTATTGTACATGATTTTTTTTAAAATTTTTTTTTAGTTCTCGGCGGACACAACATCTTTGTTGGTATGTGGTGCTGAGGATCGAACCCAGGCCGCACGCATGCCAGGCGAGCGCGCTACCGCCTGAGCCACATCCCCAGCCCTGTACATGATTTTAATACATAAAAATAAAAATATGTGCATTATGATTTGGAAATCTGTGTTGATACAGGAGTGCTCAGATCCTGGTCTTTTTGATCCTGATCTGTTTCACCCCCAGAGGTGCTTCCTGAACTCTGCAGAGGTGAAATGACTGAACTGTGAGAGCTGCTGGTCGGGACTGACGGGGTGGCACTGGAGGAGGGGGTCATGGGGGTACCCGGAGGGGTGCATCTGCCCTGTGGTCCCTCCCCCCACGCTGCTCTCTGACTCTGGCCAAGAGTGACGCAGCTTTCCTTCGCTTCCCTTGTGACGGTCACCACAGCCCAGAGCAGTGGAGTTGGCTGTAGGTGGACTGGGCTCTGAGACCATGAGCCTAAGTAACTTTTCCTCCTCTGGGTTTTATTATCATTATTTTGATTTACTACATTTTTCAGTTCTATAATTTCCATTTGGTTCTTTTTGAAAGATTTTTTTTTAGTTGTAGACAGATAACAATACCTTTATTTTATTTATTTGTTTGTTTTTATGTGGTTCTGAGGATGAACCCAGTGCCTCCCATGTGGTAGGCAAATGCTCTACCAACTGAGCTACAACCCTTTTGGTTCTTTAAAAGAAAAAAAAACTTGCGGTTCTTTTGGTTAAGATTTTCTATTTTTCATGTGTTCCAAGATTATTTACAATTGCTTGTTGAAGAGTTGTTTTGGGGCTGGGGTTGTAGCTCAGGGTGGAGCACTTCTCTTGCACTTGTGAGGTACTGGGTTCGATCCTCAGCACCACAGAAAAAATAAATGAATAAATAAAATGAGATATTGTGTCCATCTACAATTTAAAAAATATTTAAAAGAAAGAGTTGCTGTGTGTGTGTGTGTGGGTGCTGGGGGCCTTGTGGATGCAAGGCAAGCACTCCACCAGCTGAGCTATATCCCCAGCCCTTGCTGAAGAGTCTTTGTGACTACTGCTTTATAACCCTTGTCAGACACTTCCAACTTCTGATTCATTTCAGTATTGACATGTGTCAATTGTCTTTTCTCATTAACGTGTGAGTTCTAGCTTGTAGCACAACACGTCATCTTCTGACGACAGTCTGGACGGTAGGCATATGTAGGAGGCAGGGACTCCTCTTCAGCCTTCCCTGCATCTTAACTAGGAGTTGAGCAGTGGCTCTCAAGGTGGTCTGGCGTCTTGATCCTGGTCTGTTTCATCCACAGAGGTGCTTACTGAACTCTGCAGACACTGCCTGTGGTGCTTCTTGGGCTGCCCAGAGCTGGTTGGGAAGAGGAAAAGTGGCCCAGGTGGCCCAGGGCCCCAGGGGTCCTGCCAGCTCTGCTCACTTCCCTAGGGGAAGGCACTTGGGCTTTCCTCACCCTGGGGGGAGGCAGGGAGACCCTGGGTCGGACATCTCCTGCCTCTGGCTGGAGGTCAGGCGGTTCCAGTCGGCCCTGCCTTTGAAGCTGGGTGGGGATGGAGGCTGCAGGCCTAGCTCTGGTCAGCCAGCTTTCCTCCTCCAACTATTTGGGGTCCTGTAACTGTGTCATTTAAAAGTCACGTTTAGCTGGAGGAGGGGAAAAAACTAGTCCACACCATTTACTCCTGAACAAGAAGTCTCTGGTCTTATTTATTTATTTTTTTGAGAGTATATTCTTTTTTTTAATATATACATTTATTTTATTTATTTTTATGTGGTGCTGAGTATTGAACCCAGGGCCTCACATGTGCAAGGCAGGTGCGAGGCAAGCGCTGTACGACTGAGCCACAACCTCAGGCCCTCTCTGGTCTTATTTTAAAATTATGTTTATGTAATTATTTATCCAGTGTGTTTAAAGTTTTTAGTGTTGCTGAAGCACAGCATGCACTCACATGCTCCCCGAGACGTGTGCAGCTCTGTGGCATCAGCACTCTGGAGGATGTGCGAGCCTTCCTGCAGTGTTGTGGACAGTTTTGTGAGTCACAGACGAAGCCACTGCCCTCAGCATCGCTCCCCATCCCTCCCTCCCAAGCTCCTTCCATAAACCTGTTTTACAGATAAACCTGTTTTACACATTTGCCGATTGGGAACGTTTCCCATAGTGAGTGGCTTCTCTCACTGAGCAAGATGTTTTCAAGGCTCATCCACGTCACAAGTTCATTCGCTGTTATTGTCAAGTCTCATCCCATTTATATGCACACCACACTTTATTTTGTTTTTACATTTTGGCTTCTTTGAGTGACATAGCCGTGGACCTTTACACATAGATTTCAGATGAGACGTGTCTTCTTTCTCCTGGGTGAGTACCTGGGGCAAAAGAGTTGTGTTGGATGCGAAAGGAGCATCTGCTCCTCCACACAGCAGCAGCATCACCCACCCAGTCCCCCGCAGTGTGAAGCCTGCAGCATCCCCAGGCCCTGGCCGATGCTCGCTACCTGGCGAGGTACCCTGGCGTCTCAGTCCTTGGTGGCTGATGCTGCTTAGGGTCTTACAGGTGCTCATCGGCCATCTGAATATCTTCTTTGGAGAATCGTCTGTTCAAGTCCTTGGTTCAGTTTTTAGTCACTTTGTTTTTCATTGTTAAGTTGAGGGCTTTGGCTTTGATTCTGAGGGAGACGGTGAGTCAGGTAGTGTCTCAGCACAGAAGTGACAGGATTTGCTGGGCTGTTGCATAGAACAGAGGTGCCAGGATGAAGCAGAGTAACGGGGTCCTGGAGAGAGACAGGTGGGAGGTGGTGGCTCACCCTGGGGAGCTGGTCACAGAACTGGTTCTGGACACACTGTGAAAGGGGAGCCCCAGGATTTCCAGGTGGAGCTGACCCGGGTGTAGGGCCTGCCCCTCTCTTGGGAAGTGCGAGGGTGCCTGTGACTGACGGGATGCGCTCATGGCAGACCTGAGACTGAGCATTTTAAAGTGGTAGATGCTCCTTGTCTCAGAGTTCTGGAGGCCAGAAGCCTGACACCAGGGTTGGCAGAGCTGCCTCCCTCTGAAACCTGTTTAGGAGGGTCCTTCCTGCCTCTTCCAGCTCCTGTGGCTGCCAGTCCTTGGTGCTCCTGGGTCACCCTTGGCAATCCTCCAACCTGATGCCACACATACCACTCCAGACTCTGTCTCCACCCTCAACGTGGCCATCTTCCCACTGTATATCTGATCCAGAAGACGCCAGTCATTGGGTTAGAGCCCACCCCGTAACCTGACCTTGATACATATGCAAAGACTCTACTTCCAAACCAGGTCACAGTCACAGGTACTGTAGCTGAGGACATGTCCTTCTAGGAGACATTCTTTCCATTACAGAGGGGGCATGACGGCGTTGCTTGGGGATGAAGGTAGAAGCTGAGCATCAGGTTGTTTTGAGAGTCCCATCAGATTTCCCAAGGGGGACGCTGAAGGGTGGCTGGATGTAGGATCTGTCAAAGCATAATTTTCAAAAAGTTAAAAATATGACTCATACAGCTCTTAACTGAGGATGCATCAAAGATTTATTTAATCCCTAATGAGGAAAAGCAGTGTGAGGGTGAGGCTGGTTCAGAAGATTAGAGAAAGGGAAGTATTTGTAGTGTCTGAAAAAATGCTTGGTTGAGTAAGCCAGCTGATTTACGTTAAAAAAAAGAAACTTGGTTAATGCTGTATAGGACTATGAAACTGTAATCTTTTCAACCAGACGAAACAATTTCTATCACTCATTACTGAATTAAATCATTTTGCATTGCCATCAGACCAGGATAATTTTACTTAGTTATCTGTTTTCTACAAGTTAAAGTTTATCCTTGCTGAGTTGTAAAATATCATAAAAGTCAAGTTAAACACACCCCAGGAATCAGAACCCCTCCTTGGCAAGTCTCGTAGACTGCACTCAGCCTGCCACTGAAAGCACACAATCCCATCCTTGTGCATGGTCCTAAATTTTGGAGAAGTTTCCTTATTAGAGCTCCCTTATGATGACAGTCTCCATAGGTCTGACCGTCACAAGGCAGCCGTCTTGTGTGCTGACCTGATTCACAGATATATAAAAGTGGTGATTGACATGTACCAACCTCCCTGTTGGGGCACATCTAAGCCATCCCTTACGCAAGACCAAGGCCAGAAAATCAACTCTGTCTGGAGATGTCATCTTAAAGAATGTAGGATTGAACCTCTATTATACCTGAGATCATTTTTTTTTTTTTTTTAAGTTTTTGGTGGTGGTGGTGGTGCTGGGATTGAACCCAAGGCCTATGTGCATGCCAGGCAAGCACTCTATCAACTGAGCTATATCCCCAGCCCTGGTTTGCTCTTCTCATCCTGGGATAGGAAACTGAGCCAAGCTAAACGCCCTCAAGTTGGTGTGCAGTTCTTGAGCAGGTAGGGAGTGTAGGTGAACTCTTACCTTGCTGAGGGCCTCTGTGTCTATGTGGTTCTTGGCTTGCCAGGGAGCATCTTCTTACCACTTGAGTGGCTGAGACTGTACACCAGAGCTCAGATGGCCAGCTGGAGCCGGCTGAGGGCGGCGTGGGCACAGGTCCAACACATACTCTGCAGCCCTCATTTCTTCAAGATGGGTGTGTCATGTGGCTCACATGAAATATATTCTCAAGTACGACACCCTTGTGAGGCCTTGGTTGCACAACCGATTTGTCTTAACTATTTCCTGGTAAAAAAGGAGGACTGATTTCCATTGCAGCTATTGTGAATTGCTAGATTTCTATTAAAGTAAAAAGTAAACATTGTTTTTCTGAATTTTTTAAAAGATCCTCATTTTGTTTATTTATTTTTATGTAGTGAGGATCTAACCCAGTACCTCACAAGTGCAAGGCAAACACAGTACCGCTGAGCCACAACCCCAGCCCCTGTTTTTCTGAATTCTGAAGTGAGAAAAATACTTAAGAATGTTTCATTTGTTTGTGAAATAGTCTATTAAAGATAGGTCAAGGGGCTGGGGTTGTGGCTCAGCAGTAGAGTGTGCACCTAGCACGTGTGAGGCCTTGGGTTCCATCCTCAGCACCTCATAAAAATAAAGACATTGTATCCAGCTAAAAAATAAATATTAAAAAATAGGTTAATAAAAAGAAAAAAAGGCTTAATCTTATTCATGCCAGAAAATATAACATTAAAAAGAAAAGAAAAACAAACCATCAACACCCTGCTCCTTTCCAGCAGATCTAACAGGTCGGAGAGGCATTGAGGTCCCGTGGCCAAGCCTTTTTTTTTTTTTTTTTTTGGTGATAGGGGTTTAACCCAGGGGTGCTCCAGCACTGAGTTACATCCCCAGCCCATTTTATTTTTTATTTTGATACAGGGTCTCCCCAAGTTGCTTAGATCTTGCTAAGCTGCTGAGGCTGGCTTCAAACTTGCAATTCTCCTGCCTCAGCCTCCTAAGCTGCTGAGATTCAGGTATGCACCACTGCTCCTAGCCCACAGCCAAGCTTTTAACTGGTGCATGAAAAGGGACACTGGGGGTTGCATTTGGAGTAAATTTCTATTTGGTATAGCCCAGTGATGGTTACATACAGGGAAACTGAGTTAAGCAAATGCTTACGAATTTCTTACTGTTGAAAGAGTCATAAATATAGAAAGGGAGGAAGGACAGAATCAGAAATATTAATATGAACTCTTTTTTTTTTTAAACAGGGGGAGAGAGAGAATTTTAATATTTATTATTTTTTAGTATTTGGCGGACACAACATCTTTGTTTTTGTTTGTGGTGCTGAGGATCGAACCCAGGCCGCATGCATGCCTGGCAAGCGCGCTACCGCTTGAGCCACATCCCCAGCCCCTAATATGAACTCTTAAGAATTATCAATGAGGGGCTGGGGATGTGGCTCAAGCGGTAGCGTGCTTGCCTGGCATATGTGCGGCCTGGGTTCCATCCTCAGCACCACATAAAAACAAAGATGTTGTGTCTGCCGAAAACTAAAAAATAAATATTAAAAAATCCTCTCTCTCTCACTGTCTCTTAAAAAAAAAAAAAAAAAGAATTTTCGTCAATGACACCATCAGGATATGTGCGTGTGTGCGCACATTCGGGTGTACATAGGCATCTCCCAATTGTTCCTGCTGAGAGTAAGTGGAATCATCCTTCATAGTCTTCTGTGACTTGCTTCTTCCACTCAGCTTGCTGTGGCTGAGATTCAGTCATATAGTTTCAAGTGGTGGGATCCATTCATTTTTGGTGCTGTGTGCTGTTCTGCTGTATGGAGATACCTCTATTTATACATCTTACAGTATGAGGACATTTGAATCTTTAAATTTTTTTTTAAGTTGGAGATGGATACATTTATTTACTTTTATGTGATGCTGAGGATCAAACTCAGTACCTCACACATGCTAAGCAAGTGCTCTCCCCCTGAGCTACAACTGCATCCCAATATTTGAATCTTTTCTCTAGTATTTTTTGCTATTAAAAACAGTGACCCTCAGGGCTGGGGTTGTGGCTCAATGCCAGAGCACTTGCCTAGCATGTGTGAGGTACTGGGTTTGATCCTCAGCACCACATAAAAATAAATAAAAAATAAAGGTACACTGGGGATGTGGCTCAAGCGGTAGCGCGCTCTCCTGGCATGCGTGCGGCCCGGGTTCGATCCTCAGTACCACATACCAACAAAGATGTTGTGTCCGCCGAGAACTAAAAAATAAATATTAAAAATTCTCTCTTTCTCTCTCACTCTCTCTCCTCTCTCACTCTCTCTTTAAAAAAAATAAATAAATAAAGGTACATCAACAACTTAAAAAAAAGTGAAGCTCAGTTGGTAGAGTGCTTCCCTTGCATGTATAAGGCCCTGGGTTCAATCCCCGCACCAAAAAACCACAAAAACAAAAACAATGCTATCTGAGCATGGTGGTATATGCCTATAATCCCAGCAGCTTGGGAGGCTGAGACAGGAGAATCGTGAGTTCAAAGCTAACCTCAGAAACAGCGAGCGAGGCGCTAAGCAACTGAGACTCTATCTTTAAGTAAAATACAAAATAGGTTTGGGGATGTGGCTCAGTGGTTGAGTGCCCTCAAATTCAGTCCCTGGTACCCCCCCCCAAAAAAAACCACCCAAAAAACAACAGTGCTGCTTTGGACATTGCAGGCATGGAATGCCCTAGTAATATATATGGACTTATCCCTCCACCTGGGAGTGGTTTTCTTGGGAATCTTGCTCTAGGAACCTGGCCACCATCCTTCAAGGGAGTCCCCACAGCCCTCAGCCCACCAAGATACCAGCCACGTGAGTGTACCAACTCTGAAGTAGTCGCTCCAGCCAACAGTAGCCACTGCTGCATGTAGACAAGCTGTGCTGTTGAGTCCTGCTCAGGTAGTGGATCTGGGTGCAGAAGGAATGATTGGTGTTTTAAGCTACAGAGTTTTGGGGGTGGTTTGTTATGCAGCAATAGATAACTGATACACATGACCAATTTCAGTAGGTAATGTCATGTTATTTGCCAAGATAATTGTACCCCTGGATATTCTGGCCAGCAAGTAACATGCATTTAAAATGCTCCATCCTCTAGCATCACTGCATATTGTCAGACTTTAACATTTGTGCCCATTAGGTGTGCTCTTAGTTTGCATTTCCAAAATTATTCAAAAGATTATTGGCTCTTTTCGTATTCTCTGCAAGGTACCTGATTATTATGAAAGTTTCCTTGCTTATTATCGATTTTGCCCATCATTCTATTGAACTGTTTCTTTTCAATGGTTTTGAAAGAGTTCTTTATATATTTTGGATGCCAATCATTTGCAAGGTATGTTGCACATACTTCTAGTTCCTTTTCTTAATTCTCTTCCTACTGTTTTAAAAATAGGACTCATTCATCCCATACTTTTATTTTTGATCTACATCAGTTTTCAGGTGTATTTTCTCATAAAGTATAATTTTTATTCCATTCCTGAATTTGTACAAAGTAACGGAGGTCTTTGCTGGGTGCATGCCTATCAGCAGCTTGCAGCAAGATTGCAAGTTTTGGGCCTAAGCAACACAGGCAATAAATACATAAATAAATAAATAAAGCTTGGGATGTAGCTCAGTGAGAGTGCCCCTGGGTTCAGGCTCCAGTATTGCAAAAGTATCAAAACTATCAACCCAAAACCCCACAAAGTAATAGACTTTCCTACTAATAAAAGAAATGAATTCTAAAGCACTTGAGAAATTTGGGCCAAGTATAGACAAATGCCAAAAGTGGGCTGACAATGAAATAATTTGTTCTTTGGTGAAGAAAATAAATTTGGATACCAATCAGGTACATGTCTTTTTTTTTTTTTTTTTTTTGGTACTGCTGGAGATTGAACCCAGGGCCTAGTACATGCTAGGCAAGTGCTCTAAAATTGAGCAACATCCCCAGTCCTTTTAAAAATCGTATTTGGAGACAGGTTTTTGTGAAATTGTCTAGACTGGCCTTGAACTTGTGATCCCCTTACGTCAGCCTCCAGAGTAGCTGGGATTGCAGGCATGAAGCTGAGTAATTGGAATTATAGGCATGCACTATCATGCCAGCAGGTTTATGTCTTATCATAGCATTAAACGATATTTATATTCCAATCTTAAAAGTCTCTGTCTTTTAATGGATTAATTTAATTTAATCACATTTTTGATTACTCAGTTGTTTGAACTTATTCCTGCCACCTCATATTAAGCTCCTCATTTACTTTGTCTTTTATCTTTTCCCTGTTTTGGTGTCAGTTTTTCTTGGTTTCATCTTTTCCTCTCATTTTGAATGTTCTAAATCCTATTTTTATTTTTTCTAGTGGAAACTTTGATATTTTAACATTTTAAGTCTTTTTCCTATCCATTCTAAAATCCTCTAAGAAATACAAGAATTTTGGGGCACTTTCACTTCCTGTTGCCTCCTTTCTTTGCCATGTCATGTTGACTTCATCTGGGATTTTTCTCCTTACTACTACTGATTTTAATAGTCCAAATTGGTTTCTTTGTTGACATTCATGTTTCATTCTTGGATTCACTTTTCATTTTGCTAAGGTATCATTATGGTTTAGATATGAGGTATTTCCTAAAAGCTCATGTGTGAGATGATGCAAGAAAGTCTAGAGGTGAAAGGATTGGGGTCTGGTGTCTTAACCTAATCAGTGAATCAGTCCCTTGATACAGGGGGTCAACTGTAGGCAGGAAGGGTATGGCTGGAGGAGGTGGTGATTGGGGGCATACCTTTGGGGTATACTTTTTTTCATGGTAAGGGGAGTCTCTCTCTCTGCTTTCTGGGTGCCATATCCCCAGCCACTTTCCTCCATCCCACATTTTTGTCACGATGTTCTGCCTCATCTCCTTAAGGAATGGAGTTGGCCATCTATGCACTGACACCCCTGAAAACATGAGCCCTCAAATAAGCTTTTCCTCTCCAGATGTTCCTGTGAGGTCTTTGGTCACGGTGAAAAGCTGAGTAAAACAGGTATTGTATTCTCTCAGTACTTTTTTAGAGAGGTGTTGTAGTAAACTTGGATGTTCATGGGCTGTGAATGCTGTCTTGCTGCTTCACCGTGTTGAACTATTAAAATCTTGACAATTCCTCTTCCATACAGTGTCTGATTAACTCTAAAGAAGATCCTCTTTTCTGAAGGCTTCTTAAGCTGGTGTCTTTGTCCTTGGAATTTTAGAATGTCACTGTGACATGCCCGTGTGTGTGACTTTTTTTCTTCACTCCTTTGGAACATCACTCTTTTGTCTGAGTAGCCTCACCTTGTCTCTATCTCCTGTTTTGTGAAGAAAGGTTTCCTGTCTTTTCAGGTTTTCATGAGACTGTCTCATTTTCCCTCGTGTCATGGGAGATTCTCTAGCTTGTTGGTTTGGATCTGTTCTCCCCAAGGTGGAAGGAAGAAAGGTGCAGGCCTAGTGCACTTACCTCCATCTCCCTGGCACATTTAGTCTCAGATAAGCAGACACCTGTGGAGCAGAGACAGTGTTTGCAGTTCCTGGTTGGGTGCTGTGCCGTAGTCAGGGCCCCATGGCTGGGCCTGCTTCCACCATAGCTGAATTTTGTGTTTGGAGGGATTTCCAGTTTCTGGTCCTTCTGAGCCAGAGAAACCTCTTCCTTATGGATAGGAAGGTGGGACTTTGCTCAGGACTGATCACTGGGTGACCCTGGCTGTGGTGCTATGTCTTTACTTCTGGATCTGTACTTTGGGTGCAGTGGGGCAGGAGTGCTGGCCAGCCACAGGACTGTGGGGCTCCAGCTCCCACCTGGATTGCTTAGGTGAACGAGGCGACCCTGCTGCTATAAGGCTGTTGGTGGAGCATCCTGAGCAGTGGTCCTGACCTGCCTACCATGTGGAGGGAGGTCTCTCTGGCTCAGAATGACCCAACCTCTGTCCTGGGGTGGACAGACCCTCTTTCTGAGGGGCTTGCCCTAATACCACAGATAGGGCTCCCCACCCTGCTAGGAGCTCCTTCAACACCATCTGTACCAATCACAAATGAATCCTTGAAAGAAACGGAAGAACCATCTAGGTTTCTCATTTTGAAACATTTTGGGACTTAATCTTAGAATGAAAGTCACCAATAAAACCACTGAATTAATTTAAGAGCTTAGGCCAAAGTAGAAGCAGCCAGTTGAAGTCCAAGGTGCAGGTGTCCTAGCTGCTCACAGGGTGTTTCTGGACATCTTCAGTGGGCTTATCAGATCCCAGTGGGGGTCACAGACCTGGAGCCTGGTGTGCCACACTCTCAAGGGAGGTCTGGGCTGGAGCACAGTGCCCTTTCCTCTTGCACCCTGCCCACCCGTCAGTGATCCTCCACTCCTAGTCCAGCCTCCCTTGCCCCAAGTCCTGGTTACTGCCACCACTGAAGGGCACACTCCCAGGGGTTTGACCCTCCCACAGGGATCCCGCTTCCTAGGCCCCCTCCGTCCCTCAGAGCCACCTCCCTAACCCTGAGGCCCCCAGGTGGAATATACCCCCCTTGGGCTTCACCCCTCAGCAGCCTGCTGGGGACCCCGACTTGTGGTGCCCGCTTAGTCCCTTCCATAGGGACCACCAGTCACCTTGCATTCTCAGGAAGTCGCTCCACCTCTCAGGAACCCCCTCTGGTCACCCCACACTGTGAGGACCCCCCAGCTCCTTGAGATCAGCCTCCTGGTCCCCCAGGACCCTGTGCTCCATCCACCCGCAGCCCCTGCAGCCACCTCGGCCCTCTCAGGTCCTCCAGCCACTTCAGGTCCCCTCAAATCTACTCAGGTCCCCTCATCCACCTCAGGTGCCCCTGGCCGGCCCCCTCAAGTCCTCTCAGGTCCCCCTGGGCCCTTCAGGTCCCCTCAAGTACCCCTGGCCCCCTCAAGCCCTCCCGTCCCCCTTATCCCCCTCAGGTCCTCTCGGGTCCCTCAGGTCCCTCGGTCTCCTTAGGTCCTCTTGGGTCCCTCAGGTCCCCTCAGGTCCCACAAGTCCCCTTGGCCTCCTTAGGACCCCTCAGGTCCCCCTGACCCCCTCAGCCCCCTCTGGTCCCCCAGGTTCCCTCAGGTCCCCCTGTCCCCCTGTCCCCC